GAGCTCTCTGTATAACTCCCATCCAATGGGATATTATCAACTACCATCTTACTGGTCCGGATCTGGACCAATGATTCCATGGTGTGCACATGACACGATGTCTGAATGCAATCTCAGTGATAGGTGGGAGCACATTAGGATAAATTATTGAGAGAATATCGCCAAAATTTCCCCTGTAAGAAGGCTGAGGTGAATTATTTTTCAACATTATTGCCTTATTTTCAAAATTAATGTAGATTGCTGGTGAGTTGTTCTAAGTACACCTATTCAATTGTATCAAGTGATTGTGTCCTGATTTGTCTTGCAATTTTGCGAAGTCAATTTTGAGATTATTTCTATTTTGGGGAGAGAGGAGTTTTGATTTGGAGAACCGAGTAAAAATAACCAAACAAATTTCTAATACTTTAAAGATTAATTTGATAAAGATTAAACTTAAAGATTAATTGCTGCTTCATAAAAAGAAATATGTACAGTTGCTTTTGAAGATTCTTCATACAGTTCTGTAGGAGTTTTGCAATAGTGTACAAAATGGCAAGAGTATGCCCGAATAGAGGATTGGCTGTTCAAATATACTGCTACTAATTTCCACGGGCACTCTTTGTGAATCACTGCCACCCATCAAATCCACTACTCAAAATCGTTGAAACAAATTAATAAAATAATTTCTGATAAGTGAACATCTTTACATACTTTTACATACAAGTATTGCTATCTTTCAAATCACTGGAAGTACGTGGACCGCAAAGACTACAGTAAATTCATCCGCAAGCAAGGAAAATAGCTATACAATTGTGGACCACTTTGCGAGAACGAGAATTCATTCCAGGACAATTTTTGTTATGGCGAAGAATTTTTGAAGATATTTCACAGTAATGTTTTCAGTTCATAAGGAGTTACGGAATAATAGCGTTGATATATTAATTTCTGTTTTGTGGATTGTTATAAAACTGTTCACTTATTTCTACAATGTTTATTTCGGATTTAGCAGTTTTTCCTTTAAAAAAAACGAATACGAAAAATCATGAATTGTGAATAATGTGGGGCCCTTTGTTCTGAATTATTCCCGAAATCTGGGGTTTAAAAAGTGTCACAAAATGCTTTTTTTTTAACATTGTATTCCATGTACTTGAAAATGGCAATTTTTGAAACACAATCTGAAAATACGTCACTGTAACACACAAAGAATGCTATTTCATGGTGCTATGGGATAATAGTTCCTAAACTGATTTTTACAATATTGAACTGGTGCAGATTATTTCATGAAATTCTTTGAACCGTGACTCCACAATCCCCGGTACTGTGTGTCTTGCGTTGTGTAATTTGAATGTTCCGCACATCATTTACTAGGTATAAAACATTGCTGAATGTGTTAGTCTTAGCATCTTAATTACGTAATTGTAATTAACAGTAACAAATTGGAGCTAAAAAAAAGTGGCGACAGTGACAGAATGTGGTCGCCATTTTAACATTTATAGACCCAGAGCTTAGTTTAAGTTGAGGAATCAATGATTCTCTACTGCAATTAAAATGCGCTTCCTTTGTGTCAGTCATGTTGATTGTTGGAACAGCCTTCCTGTATCTGGTAGATGCACCTTCCATACATTCTTTAAAAGTGGAAAATTGAATACAAGGAGTGTGGATTATAAATATATATCCAATAAAACTTTGTACATAAATAATAAAACACATTATGACATATGTTTCCAGTTTAGAGGTGCTTCTTAGTTAGTTACCAGATGTTACAGAATTTTGATAATCTGAGGTAGTCCACAGATGTGATTAGTATAATATTTGCATAATACGCATACAAAATTTATTCCACTTGCTTTAATAAGAGTTTTCTGTTAGTTTTATATCATATATATCATATTGCTTTCACATTGTGCATATCTAAGATTGGAGCTATATTAATTGCAAAGCTTCTCCTTCTCTCCAGATGACCATATATGGTTATATGACTCCATTATTAATGAATTATAACTAATATCTGGAGTACTGATACAAAAATGACATTCAGCGAAATGAATTATATAATTGAGGTATAACATATCAAATGATCATACAGGGTCATGTGATCTCATTAATCTAGAACATTATTGTAGTCATTGCAATAATAGTATAATTGAGACTAGCATCAGATGACGATATGTAAGCTCATTATTATGCATAACTAGTACTCTTGTTACAGAGGGATATGCAACCACTGCAGCATTATATATTGAAGGTCTCAGACAAGACACACGACTAACATATCAGATGACTATCTGATCGTGTGACCTCATTAAATATGTCACCATATCAAATTCACAGAAATATGTACATGTGCAAACTGACATTATACAATATGGTATAATGTATAGCAAATACATCATATATCATTAGCGATGCAACTCAGCCATTGCTGCTATCCAGCTTCATTTAGTTGTTTAATTTACAGAAGTGAGTGTATTTTTAAGTTTTTCAATGATATTTTGATAACAAATTCAATGAAACTTAATACATTGATGCACTGTGGTATACACAATTATGATTAAATGTATTCCAGTGTTGATTATCTTTATGCAAAAATGTACGCACATTTGATTATGTGATTTGCTTTCAGGATGTTTGTTTTTGTTTGCACAAATGCGTTGAAACTTGTACATGCATACTGTGTAGTTGCATGACTGATAGTTACTTGTCGCCATTTCAATCAGCTAATTTCTATAACTGTTTTAGCATATTCTTTGTGTATCTTTGCAGACAAATGTGAAGAAACTTTGTATAAGGCTTTATCAATGTGAATATGGGATATCAGTTTCTTCTTTTTATTTAATATTCAACATGTGTAATCAATATTATACTATTTTATTCAAGTAATTTTACAAATGCACACTGTATGTATAGTTGAATATCTGAAGCTATCTGTGAATATTAATTAACTGGTTTCATTTTGAATTCCAACAAAATGTTGGTCAAATAGATTGAATCGCAGTGTATTATTAGTTTTTTAATCATTCTGTGAAGCATCGCAAACAATAATTTGGCAGAAATGATTGTAAGTTATTGAGAAAACATCAACGATTATAACAATTTTCAGTGTTGTCTAATTTTATTCAGAATAGCCAACTGGCGGCACCAACTTGGCATTTTACCAAAAATAATATCACATGCATATCTGAGCAAATTTTATTCAATTTCAATATAAACATATTTTGTATACTGATATGAGATTTTAATCAATTATTTAGTGAAGTGAATACTCCAGCCAATCAAGTATGTTCCATGTGTTTTTATAACCTTGCCACAGTTATTCTGAAATCAAAATGCTTACACAAATAGTCTTGAATACATCTACAAAATAACATAATGTTAACAGAAAATGCATGTCCTTTATTCACACAAATATAATGCATTCAATCACAGTCCCTCTATCCCCAGCATGGAAACGCAATGCAATTCATTCTCCCAAAAGCAGTAAACAAGCTGTTGACACCTTCTGATAGGTATTCAATAGTGTTCGAATACTGTCGTTTCATGTTATATTTGTCTCTTTGTTTTCAAGTACACTTAATTAATTACGGTATTACATCAAAACATGTTCAAGACATCCTTGAGCAGAAATGAAAACAAAGTAATCTTGAACAATCGGTTGATTTTTGCTATAGCATTAAAGAGTCATGAGTCATCATGAGTCGTTTATTTACTCTTTAACGTTCGATGTATTTTAAGAATTTAAGAAGGAAATTCTCATATATGTTTCATCAATCTAATATTCCATTAAGTTATCCATATGTTACGTAATACCCATAAAATGTACGTTGTTGCCCCGGTTAGAATAAGTTAAAGTACAAAACATGTCTCTTTGATATAAATACGAATACACTATCTTTATGGAAACAATTTATTGTGATATTTTTTTATTGATAGAAATGTCGCTTTCCAAGGGTTGAGTGAAATGTATGTCATATACACCTAAACACCACGCTGATGAATTACGTTATGCTCTATGAATATTGCCAATGTTCGAAGTCATATTTTGGTTATTAAACATTGTATTGCAAATGATAAATGGTACTAACGTTATTTAAAGAGATCTGAATGGGCGTATGTTGTTTGTGGTGAAATTTAGTTACCCTACAAATATGTTTGCAAATAGCAAATGCTTTCTGTATGTCTTTACATTTCTAAAGAGAGAACACGAGCACAAATACACAAAAGAAAGAACATTATCGTCAAACATTTTGTTGGCTTTTGGGCGACAGTTACGTGGATGGGACAAAATGTACGTTACTGAATTGTGTGTTACCGAGAAATAGAGAAATTTTTGTTCAAGCTTACTGTGATTACCCAGTCTCCTGTCATTAACAAAAGCAACTAAATGAAGTCGTTTGATTTTGAAAACCGTTAATGACGCTAGTTTGGTTTGCAAAGTGGGTATAACATTATCTTACTCAATTTAAACTGCTGTGCAAGTACTGATTTATATGCCGTGTTGGTAAGAGAGTGGTAAACGCACAATCTATGTGTATGTCGTGTATTTCTTCGGGAGATGCACTTGGTTCAGCTTGAACGACAGTGAGCTAATATTAAGGTATGGTTTATTTAGTACAAACAAAGCAAAGACAAAAATCTTACATTTCGTCTTCATGTGTTTTTAGCCAGTGGAAGGAAATGAACAGATTGGAGCACGTTTGAAACAACCCCAGTGCAATAGAAGCACTCGGTGGCGTCTAATAGCAAGCTTCAGAATCCAATCATGGACAAGAAACTAGTGGATTTGAGAGTTGTCTAAATTATGCACACCCTTTTTTATATGCCAACGTTACTCAATGCACGTACATTATGCCCCTAACACAAAGTGAAAAAGCATTGTGCTTAGGTGTACATTGGCATTCCTATTCGACTGTGGGTATTTAACATGAAGCATTACCAAAGACATAATGGCTGGCAACGTTACAGTTATGCATTTATATGCCACGTTTTTTTTCGTCTGTTGAAATGAACCGTACCCAACAGACTAGAAAACATGACATTTACTTGTTTACTACTATTTTCAGAATAGCAATAAAGAAGTCTAACGACAAGTTTAAAGAAGAGACAAGTGCCACATTTGAACGCATCACAAAACAATGGCATAATCATCAATCATTAAAGTACAATACATGTAGAAAATAGTAGTCGTCGTGCCACGCATGCGAGAGATAAATGAGTCTCAAGTAACAAGCTCAACAAACTGAGACGTTACCAAGCTTTAATTAGGTATTTTTTAGGTGATTGGAAGGTATCGAAGAAGTCATCGTCAGTAATTAGTGCAAGTCGCGCACATACTCGTTTATCAACAAAAATGACGACTGCCTTTAATAATTAGGATTCACTAACAACTATATCAAATTGATTTTGATTAGTCACATGGTTTGGCTGTAGTTTTTTTTATTTTTGACAAAACTTTGGTAATTAGTTTTTCATGAGTACTTTAACCGTATAACTTGATATTTTGCATATATCCTGTACGGCTAAAGCTTATTATGAAAAAAATAGGTAACTTTTGATCAGTCGTACAGTTTTAGCTGCCATCTTGGATTGTCATTATGAAGATGCGTTCTTGGTGAAACTGTATTGATCAACTTGGAATGATTGATTGCTTCTGTATCTAAAAGTTCTACAAAGACCTATTTTCTACAGTTACAGACAGAAGTATTGTACTTTTATACTGTTATAGAAGATGATTTGTTGCACAGGTCGGTGAAACACTTCAAGTGAAAACTAGTGATACATGTACGTACAGTTGAATTAATTAGGGGAGGGTGGTGCAGCAATTAGCATATCGGTTCTGCAAACTGAATATCGTGAGCTCAAATCCCGCACTAGCCAACTTGCAATTGTTCACTTAGTATTGATCTGATGTTATTGAGTGATGTGTGTAAACAAACAATGAACCTTTTATAAGAATTGCATGTGACCCATGTCAGTTACGATGAAACATCCAGCTATGTCAAAAGAATCATCACATGAAAACATAAAAAAGTTGATGGTGAGAATCATTTCTATGCAAAACAATCGTAACACACCAGAGTAACAAGTTTATAAAACTCCAATCAAAATCTTTAACAGGCATATACATATACATATTTAACTAAAACTGCAATTCTGCTCATCAGTGTGTTTGAGGTGTGAAACAAGTATTAATCAGTCTTGTCATTTCTGCATCAGTTACAGAGATTTCTTCATACTTCTTCATAGCAGCACTCAAGTGCATGGCCAAGACATGTTTACACTAGGGAGAGATAGAGATAGGTTTGAAGACTCATTGAATTGAGAATTATAATAATGTTGTTATTATTATTTTATTTGCATATAAATTTGGGAAATTGGTTTATGTGTGGTATTTATATGAAAGCAAGTTCACAGTTTGATCTAAATTACTATGATTTTTAGTCATATTCAATGTAACATTCCAATGAAAACTGTTAATCGTGCACAAAAAAACGCTCAAATATTCCAGATTGTTAAATCTACCTACACTCAGCATAAAATATCCTCCACAAAATGAATACACTCATTCAGTAATATAAATGAACCACAAATCAGTTGTTGTGACTGTGAGTAACATTCAAATTTCCATCATTGTGATGCAGCTAGGGCGGGAAATTAATCACACCTATAGGCCTAACACAAAACATCGGAAAATGTGCGTCCTTAAAACTATATATACAAACAATGGCACACAGTATGCAATGTAAAACTTACCATTGAAATGTCTCTTCTCTTTAAAACTATAATAAAAAAATAAATTTACCTAGCAAAGATATTTTAATGGCTGAAACATTGTTATCTATTACAATATTGTATTCACTGGAACTATGTTACTTGGTAAAGCTATTTCAATGACTGAAACAGGTTTATCTTTCATCCAAAGACGAAAACGCATGATTGAGCCAAATGTGCTGCCCGAAAATAGACATTTACAATGGCCTGAGACATTTGGATGATCAAATTGGGGCAATTACATATGTACATATAAATAACGCCATATACTATTGGGTAGCAAAAGCAAACAACTGCCTGTCCATCTCCAGAGAATTAATTAGAGTATTAAATAATATGGTGCAAGAAAGACCTACATGAAGAGCCACTAATGTGCAAGCTACAAAACAACACAATTCATCATAGTAGTTAAAAGCTGAGATTGTAGAACAAATAATAATTACCTGAGAATGTAAATGATAAACAGGAACAATAGTTTGAAGATGGAAAACATGTGTATGGTTTACCAGAACTACCAATTACCTAAAAGTTAAACAAATATGATATAAATATATCATGTTGTTTTCACGTTGTACATCTCAAATAGCAGACGAATATTAGTTACCAAGCGTCTTATTTGAAAGGCTAATTATTTTTTAATATGTCTCTAATACTCTCAGCACATGGGAGTTCTTTCTAAGCTTTCTTTGATTTCAAACTTATACTCATTCGCACAAGTGATCTCAGAATGACAGTCGCTATGATTGATCAAATGGTTTTGGAAATTTATTAGTTTATAAATGTTATTCAAATTTTTATAAATTAATCTGTTGAACCACAACCATTGGGAATCCAAAAATAGTGTATACCGAAAATTATGAAATATTGAATCATATAACATATCAGCCAACAATTGACATTCATAGTACTATGCATCTTTCATATAAATCTGATAAGTCATACGCAAGATTCAATTAAAAAAAGAGTGATTTCTCTAGAATGGTGGGCTTTTTGAATTTAAGCTCACTTTAATACTACAGAAATGTTAAAATAGTCATTAAAAAAGTTTTGATTAAAGTTTTCATTAAACAAGTATCTCTTCCATTAGACTTGGGTGGTGCTATATGGACTGCATTTGCATTGTATACAAAATAGACTGTCAATGGTTTGTTTCCTTATTTATTTCACTATCTGGTTAAAAAATTTGAATTTCCATTAAAGATTTGATTTAAATATAATAACACATAACATATTGTATTGTAATGAAAAATGTATTAAAACAAAAATATTATGAAAACATTAAATAATATCAATATTCAGAATTTTGTTATTTTCGTCTGACCATGCAAGTTGTTTTGAATCTGTTCACGGACATCCACTGTACAGTAGCATTTCAGTTGGGTTTACGTTTTCAACCTATGATCGGCTGCCAGTTTTATGAATTCCATATTTTCTCTTTTAATATGGCAAATTCTTTACATTTAAGCAAATTATCTATGAAGCTCTTTTTCATTTTATTGACGAATGTGTGCATAAGTATGTTGTCATCCACCAATGGCACCAATTAGTAGCCACACATTGGATGAGATATTACTAGCATCATATAACTAGGCATTCATGAGTATAATGCCATATAGATTCTGAAGTAAAACGAATCAATTCTCTCTTATACCTGACCTGAAATATAATCCTACCACTGGTACATTTCATCTTTGTGACCTCATTATGATCCAATATATCTAGAGCAGGCAGTAATGGACCTTGGAATGTAAAATGTAATCTGAAACAGAATGAAGAACTGCATGAAAGCATTTATTTTACTTTACATAGTCTGCAACTTAAAAGAAAAAAGAAAAATCTGTAGTAGAAGCTGCAACTTCTATTAAAATGTTACAATACAACAGAGGGAATGCGGCTTCTAATAGAGCATCTACACATATGAGAAATGGTTAAATTGTTGGTTCTCAATTGTTCAAAAAGGAAGGGAAGTGGCTTATATTAATAATGCAGCTTCTAATACTGATTTTACAGAAATACACAATAATTATTACACATCTGTTATTTCCATCACACATAGTGTGCAGCAAAAAGGAGGTACCTGCATCTCACCATATTAGAAACTGTGACTTCCAAATAAGCACCTATATAAACCAACTAAATATATTAGTTGATAACCTCACAGTATGTACTTGATTGGTATACAGTCAAGCCAATTCTGTTACAATTTGTCTACTCTCACTGTAACTATCTATAGACTTACTTCGGAATAACTTGACATTATGAATAATGCATATGATTGTATGTTGTAATTGAAATTCTAGGTAAGAATCAAAGAAACACAAGAAACATTGTTGTAAGTATTGTGGGTATGTGCTAAACATTAAACTGAATTTATTAAGTGTAGGCAGAAGTTATGGCTTTTAAGTAAAATATATGCATGTAGCTGAATCAATTCATTTGATTTACAAACCACCTGTTGCTACATTTAATACATTTAATATTTTTGGAAAACTGAAGACAAATACAATTGAGAACTTACGCTGACAATAGATCATCTGACACTGCAATAAAAAAGAAAAAAACAATATATAATTCTTGTTGATATCATTAACACTATATATTTATGTATCACAATTGTCACTGCAAATCATGTTCAATATGTTTCTTATCTTATGTATACAAAACATTAATATTCACTGTTTACACATAATTTTAATGCTGGCTACACTACATTACTATTATGCACAGTAATTATATTTATCGTAGGCCAAGAGAAAAAAAAAGTGTGTAGTTCCTATACTCAAATGTACCTTATTTTTCTAACCATATTTGCAGTCACAAAAATGTGCAACATTTTGAATGAGATTTTATGGAAATTTAAAATTTTGCAAAACTGGGTTATGTAACAACTTTAAACATGATTTAAGACACTCATATTTGTAAAAACAGTCTTTATATGCAAGGAAAACAAAATGAAACAATTATAACCAAGAACAAATATAAAGAAAAAAATGCCTACCTACCTATTTTTGAAAAGCATGATATAGGAAACACATTTTTTTTATTTGGCCTTATTAATAAGATGTGCATCTCTCAGAAGTGATGTGTTTGAGTTGTTGGAAGCTTGAATCATAATTGTTGCTCAGATGTATAGACATCTTAGCCTTTGGTGGCAAAAGTGACCTAATTTATCGAAGCCATATCTAAAATATAGTATGCCATTGCCATTGTCGCAAACAGTATGAGATATATTAATGACTGATGAGTCAAGTTCCAATATTTCAATTTCAAAAAATAAGTAATCTACACTTTTACTTTTACAGTTGCATTCCCACTTTACAAATCTGTGAATTACCATCCCCTGGCCAATGTTGATGAAATATTAATATTGTGGATTAGTAATGGGTAAATTAGCTGCAGAATATAAATTTAAGTGATTCTCTTAAATTTAGCTATATTGGTAAACATTGGACATTCACAGACTTGAAAGCTTTGCTTGTTCTTGAAGTACATTGTAGCTATGTTTGTCTAGGGGGAATAATATCCTCCAGTACCCTCAAAATAAAACACCTAATACAGCATTATTAGACTATATATTAAGCTTTTAGCTCATTCTAAGAGTAAAATTTCACATATCTGCAAAGTGGAAATTAACGCAAATTAATTAAATTTTGGTTGAAACCCATTCAGCCAATCAACTATGATTTCAATGTCAAATAGAATATCGATAAAACATTAGCATTGTACAATCAGAAACCATATATAATTTTGATAATATCGATGGTGCACCATATTTTGGTAGGGACAATAATGGCATTCAAATAAATAAGATATTAAAGGTTGACCAGTATTGTATGCATACTTACAATGCCCTTTAACTGAGTATAGACTTTTCACTTGAAGAAACAGATTACTTTGTACGTCATTTACTGCAGCCATAGTGTAGATAACTTTTAATCTAGGGGAAAATTGAAGCTTTAATTAGAATGTGGAAAGGTGGAGAAATGCTAGCCTGAGGAGGTTGCGTGAGTTGCGCCCTTCGCGGTGCTCCAACCCCAAGGTCTGAAAGACAACTTTAGTGAAGTAGCGAGATTGGGGTGCAAAAATACTCCTGCTTTGTCATGGCTTAAAATACAAACATGTCAATTTGCTGACAGCAGATAGAAGGGAATTTTATTTTTGTGACGTTGATTGGTACACCCAGAAGCACAATATCACGTGTGTAAGTTTATGTTAGGGACTGGACATAAAGTACATGGAGGGTAGGTCAGTGTTTTTTGGAGGGGGTCACTGATTTTCATGCAAATGTTGAGGGGAGGTTACAGTAATCTGTGGAGTCATAGGGGGAAGGGTCGCAATATTTCGTGCAATGCAAGCCTCATGACACCATAGTAAAACTAGCCAAGATTTTATGCACAGTCTGGTTGACTGTATTGCCTCAACAAACACCAAAAGCATAGTTAGTAATTTAGAGTGAACAAATGCCTAGTATCAACAGAAATTAGATGTATTAAAGTACTCTTACAAAATCGAAATATATGGTCAGATAAACAGGATATGCATTTTGTGTATTGTTTTTAATCTGATTGTGCAAATAATTGTCATGGACATGTATCATAACATGTATAATTTAAAGAGAAAAAAAAACATGTCAACAATACATTTTGAAACAAGATGGCTGCCAGTTGGTCATTTTGGATCACGGACATGTATCTCAACATAAACAATGTTTGTATCAAATTTGAGCAAAAACTGACAAATCCTGTCAAACAAACCACTTTTTTCAAAAAACAAGATGGATGCCAGATGGCCATCTAAGATCTTATTATGGAACAAACTGGTATGAACCTGTATTCCTATATTTATGATGTATGTGCCAAACATGAATTGTCTAAAAACCTTGGTGATATAGTAGTATGGTCAAAAAAGCAAGATGGCCACCAGTCGACCGTCTTTGATCCAATTGTAAAACAATTTTTGTGGACATGTAATCTAAAACATACAATGCGTGTACCAAAAAACTGAAAAAGCATGCATAAGATACCACAAAGTGGCTGCCAGTGGCCATCTTTGATCCAATCCTGAAACAAATGTAGACATGTATCATAACATGTACAATGTACAAATTTGAACAAAAACTGACAAAGCATGCAGAAGATACCGCATTTTCAAAAAACAAAATGGCTGCCAGTCAGCCATCTTTGGTCCGATCAGAAAACAAATCATTATAGACATGTATCTTAAGATGTATAATGTATATATATGTACAAAATTTAAAGAAAAAAAAATGACAAAGGATGCATAAGATACCATATTTTCAAAAAAAACAAAATGGCTGCAAGTCAGACATATTGGATTGAATCAGTAAACCACTGCATGTGCATATGTCCCGGGTAAAGTACTAGGCACATACAAAGAATGAACAGATTTTGTCCACAAGGTTCTGAAATATGACTCTGGACAGACAGAAGTACAGAGACCCAATTATAAGTCTATATATTATATATAGGGACTAATAAAGCTGGCAGTCCATGATTGCTCAAACTTATATCTTGGTATTGTATGCATTTTTATAGGTTTATTGTTTAAGTTAGCTTTGAATCTTATATACCTCGTATTGCCCGGCCTCGTAACGCTATGAGAATCCTGATGCGCGAGCCGTGCAATAATTGTTCATATCACGCCCGGGCCACAATTACCATATTTGATAAATGCGTCTATTTCCTGAAACTACTTTCTGTTTACAAACAACGCACGTAATTTGAGTCTGCGCATCGATAACGGCTGACGATATTAGTCAGTGAATGGGAAATATACCGAAAGACCAGTTGGACTCATTATTACCCTGACGAAAGCCGGCATTCCACCACAACCAATATAACTGGTCACAAAAACGTGTCAAGTTTACAGTACTACGATACTGGCAGTCAGCTGGCATCGGTGTCGCTAGATACACCCAGCGACACCGATACTAGCTGACTGTGACGATACTGTCTCCTCGGAAGATCATCGGCGCATTTCAGATATTCTTAGTTGAGCTACGCCAGAATCTGGAACTGTAAACCAAACTGCTTCATGTCAAGCAATCGTTTCTCGTTCACCGACTACAGTTTTTAACAACTGTGAAATCAACGTGTCTATACCTGGGCTACAACATCAGCTCCAAGAAAACCCGGTCGGACGGTCAGTAATGACAAACTTAGCTGGACTGTAGTGTTCATTCTTAAGAAAGAAAGTTTTTAACGAGTTCATATTTACTATCGTTAAAATATTGTTATAAATTGGCGTTCATTTGCTGTTTCATTAAAACGTAATTTTGATATATTTGGTGACATTCGTTTGTCTATTGTGGG